CATATGTTGCATAGTCTCTACCTGTGGAACACTACAACAAGAGCATTCAGAAGTAATATTAGTACCAAACCTACCATTCATGTCATTAGAAGGAAATTTTCTTTTGAATAATCTCTAAGTTAGGAAAGACATTTTAAAGGGAATAGAGTGATACCAAACCTTCCTTAACAAATTATTTTTTTGCTTTTTTGATCTAATAGATGTCAAGAAGATTTGTTAGAAAAAAGACCATCATTAGATATATTCCAAACAGGGAAGTCATCCTCCATACAATTACCTATTTCAATATTTATAATGTAATCAGTAATATGTGAAAGTAGAACCTGGTTTAAATTATTGATGTCCATTGCCCATTGTGAAAAAGGCTATTTACTTGACTTTTTGCGGACTTCCTTGTTCCTTGAGACATGTATGCTAGTGGTCCTTTCCCTGTCCAATTATCCCGCCAGAAACTGGAGGAACCATTTTGAATCCTCCAGTTAATGTGCATTTATGCTTTGCTCCTGGTGTTCAATAGGTTCTTCCAGTTGTGAGAATCTGACGAGTTAAGAACTTTACTCATAGGATGAGATCTCTTACACTATTTGGCTTTGAGGAAGGTGGCCCATAAAGTTGTTGTATTCTAAATCTCCACCATCTTTTGATACTAAATGTTTAAATCATATCTTGTATCTTCCTTATACCAATGCCACCTTCATATTTGGGAAAGCACATGATGTGCCAAGAACTCCAATGGTGCTTATTCTAACCATCTGTATATCTCTAGAAAAAATTAGCAAAAATGCTTTTCCATAAGGTTAACAGTACCTTTGGGGGGTTCATAGCCGACAGAATATATGTGGAAAGAGATTGTAGAATATGCTTGATAAGAATGATTTTCCACCTGAAGATAGAATCTTTCCTTGCCATCCATTAAGCCTTTTGACAATTTTGGCTAACATGCCATCAAATAAACAAGTGTTCTTCCTCCCATGGTAGATAGGGCATCCCAGGTAAGTGAAAGNGATTTTCCCACCAGGAGATAGAATCTTACCTTGCCATCCATTGAGCCTTTTTGACAATTTTAGCTAACATGTGATAAAACAAACTAGTGTTCTTCCTCCCATGGTAGATAGGGCAACCCAGGTAAGTGGCAGGAAAACTTTTATCTATGAAACCAGATGTTTGTCTAATTTTATTGATCCTGGAGATAGAGGTGTTTGGAGAAGTAATAAAGTAACACTTGTCGATGTTGACTTTTTTGCCCAGAAGCTCTTTCATACCTCTTGATATGATTCTTAATAAGCTTGATAGAATGAATGTTTCCTCCACAGAAGATGAAAATCTCATCTTTATAGGCTAAGTGGTTAATGTTGGGTCCTCTGTTATCCATGCTAAATAGAGTGAAGTTATCATGCTCAAATAACTTATTCAAAGATCTGGATAATACTTTAGCACCAATGATGAACAAGGAAGGGGAAAGAGGATCCATGTGCTTAAGATCATGGGAAGAAGTAAAAAAAAACCTTTCCTAGCACCATTGATAATAATAGAATATCATACCTCGTAGACAATCCCAAATGATGTCAATCCATTCCTCGGAGAATCCAAATTTCTTTATTACAGACATGAGAAATTTTCATGACATTCTGTCTTAGGCTTTCTCCATATCTAATTTGATGATAATGTTACCACCAGAATTCTTATGATTGATATTCTGAGTGATCTCTTGCGCAAGAAGAATGTTTTCAGCAATAGACCTTCCTTTGACAAAACCACTTTGATTCTCTGAAAATGAACTTGTGAAGCATAGGGTTAAGCCTTCTTGACAGAATTTTGGAAATGATTTGCTAGTGAAGTTGCTTAAACTGATAGGTCTATGCTTGGAGAAGTTGGTAGGTGACTGTACTTTAGGAATTAGGACAAGATAGGTATGTGAGAAGAATTTGGTAAGTCTCTTCCCATTGAAAACCTCTTGAACAAAATTAGTGATATCATTTCTGATAATATCCCAGTATTTTATGAAAAAAGTACCATTCTGCACTTGTAGCTCCCATATCAAAGACTGTATCTCTGATTTCTTCAATATATAGCAGTGAGAGATCTATTATCCTCATCAGTGATCCTTTGGGGAATGCAATCAAGAATGTCTCTATCTTTGAGTTAATGTTGTATGTTGAATCTCTTTTGGAAGTGGTGAGTGGCCGCTGTTGCTATGTTATAATCACGCTCCACCCATCTATTTCTATGATCTTTGATCCTGTGAAGTTGGAGTTTTCTTCTTCTTTCCCAGATTAAGCTGTGAAAGTATTTGGTGTTGGAATCACCTTCTTCAAACCACTTGGTATTTGCTTTATGTTTCAGTATAGCATCTTGCATGGCCATCCATCTAATGTATTCTGCTTGCTGTTTGTTCAGTTCTTCTCTAGAGAAATCAGTGTTGTTGTTCAAGTTTAACTCCTCTAGATCATGCATTTTGGCTTCCCACAGGTGAACATATTCAAACACATTGCCAATTTTATGTTTAGACCATTGAGTGAGTCTTTTGCTGAGCATTTTTAGTTTCTGTTGTAGCTTCCACAAAACATTCCCACATATATTAGTAGCCCACACTTCTTCAACCAGTGTTATAAAAGTAGGCTGCTCAGTCCAAAAGTCAAGGAATCTGTAGTACTTTATATCATTATTGTTTCTGTTATGACAACTAAAGAGCAAGAGTTTATGGTCGGAGCCAGTTCTTGGTAAATGTCCGACAGTGTTATTTTGAAGGAGTTGGCACCAGAGATCATTTGCAAAAATTATTTCTAGTCTCTTCCAAATCCTTCTTCTAGGATTCCAATTGTTACACCAAGTGAATTTTGGTCCAACATAACCAAAGTCCCTAACTTCACAATTATCCATACAAGAGCTAAAATCGAGGCTTTGACATGTTCCCAATAATTTATTCATTCATTTGATGTAAGTAGTTATGTTTTCTCACCCTTAAAAGCGAATCACCAAGCCATGGTAAATTCGCAATATTAATTATCAGTTCACGTGATATGTATTCAGGTCCTTATAAGAATTAAGAATTCATACATTTTAAATTCTGAATTTGTCTGTGTACACATAAAGTTATTGTCTAATAATTACCGTTTCTTTTTCTTATTAACAGCTAGAGATGAGAAATGGGGGTGAAATTATTGCTATACCGGATGTGAGCGGTGGAAGTCTCGCGTAGTTATTTACTATTGGCTTGGATTCTATTAATGAATTTAAAGTTGTGTTCAATACTTGAGCCAGATTATATGGAATTCCCAAAACTAGTTAAGTAGTTATTGATACTGGTAATTTAATCCAACGATTATATATTGATCGATGTAGAAACTTGCATGCAAGATTTCAATTTTTGCTTACAGTTCATTACCTTTTATAGACTTATTGATTTCTGAAATTAGTTTGTGGTATCTTAGCTCCAGGTACTTCGGTTTTCATTTCTTGTGCGGCCATACAATTAACAATTTTAAAATAAAACATAAAATAAAAGAGAACGGGGAAGTATGCGAGCTAGGGAGTAGAGATTCCTCTTTGAAATATATATAAATATTTGTCTTGGAACAAGCTTGCCTGACCATGCCTTTGAGTTCTATTTTATACTACACTATTTCATTTTTTACCTGTTCCTAAAGAGAATATAATATCATGTTTTTATATTTAGAAGCAGTTTAAATTATTTGACGATATGCGCTCCTTTTTAATTCAATAATGCATGGATTTTACTGCATATTTTATTAATATGTTAGAGTCATCTTTTAGTATATTAATTGTAATTAGTGGCGGATTTACCTTTAGAGGTTGAAGCAATCATTAGTTTTGGTCAAATTTGTGTAATATATTCATAGATAATACTTAGTAAATTTAATAATTGACCGTGAGCATCCACTTTGACCATCTAGAATTTACACTTTAATCGGTGAAGCACCATGACCTATAAATTTTAAATTCACCACGGGTTGTAATAAGATTTGTTTGAATTTATTCTTGTGTTATTTTTTATGTACACACATGCTAGAATTTTCACTTATAAATGTAAATATCAAGAGTGAGCAAGACTCACGTTTCAACCTTTGACTTTCTTCTAAGTTTCAGATTCATAAACGATCCCTTTCAATGGCTTCAGAAAAATAAAAGACAGGATGCAAGACAGGCGCGCAGCCTAATGCCACTAAGACGAAAACATTGGAACCAAACATTCTCCTTTACATAAATCCCACTAGTACTAACCATGGTCAGAGATTCAGTTAAATTAAACACACAAAAAAATAAGATATATCTATCAATATCTTTATCTATTTATACTATATTAAAAAGTTAATATCCTAAAACCTTCTTTAGCTATCAACTTTTTGTGAGTTCCTACTAAAATTATTGGATGTGCCCAAAAATGTAACGACCCGATAGATCATTATCACGACCTAGATCGTGATGGTAGCTAACCTGCTTGCTAGGCAATTCATAAAAGAATAGCAGGAAAAAAAATTCTGAAATGAATGAGTCTAAAAGTCGAATAAGCCTGGATAAATACCAAGCCAATACAACAAATCCCCAGAAACTGATAATACTGACTCATTGCTCTAACATAAGAATACAAGTCTGCTAATACAATACACAAGGCCTCGACTAATTTCTTTGTTCCCCACTCGTAGAGTTTTACTGGGTTGTTGTTGGTGTTTGCCTCGACCAATTTCTTTGTTGTTCTTATTAACCAAAATTTCAAATACATGATAAGCACGGCTAGAAAGGGAATTAAGATAAATGGTCCTGCTTTTTATGGACAAAAAATCATCACACCATCTGGATTTAGCAAGCTTATTAATTACAGGTCATATCTACACAGTAACAAAATCTTCCGCCAGATTACAATATTAAAAACACATTTGACCCATATTTTTGGAGCATAAGAGGGAGCTCACCGCAACAAAATGTCTCTGATCTAATTAACGTGACAAATTGGAGAGAAGTGAATTAGAAAGAGAGGAAGAATGTCGATAGTCACTGTAGGGGAGAAGCCGGTAATCACTCGAGAGAATAATTTGCCTGTCGCCACTAAAGAGGAGGACAGGAAAAGAAAAACTTTGGCAGTTACTCAAGATCAGGAGAAGAAGAAAAAGCCCGTCGAGGAGTCACCTTACATTGTCGTTCATGTGACGGCACAGGTGTTTCGTTTTTCTCCCTTATTTTTCCTCCTATATATGATAATACATGTTTATATATTCTTTCTTTTCGTCACTTTTTTCTTTTATTGATTGATCCCCTTGTGTTAGTTTGTGCACGTTTTGGTTGATCTTCCCTTGTTTGTTGATTCTCTTGGGTATTTGTTGGTGATTTTCTGCACTGTTCTATTCGAATGTCTTAAAGTAGGAAATTCTCCATTTTAGTCATGAACTACACGTAGTGAATCTGAATCATGGGTTGCCTTAACTCATGTCTATCCTAAAATAATGACTAGATTCATTCCGTAGCACGAAGTCCTTACTGAGGTTCTGGGACTTATGTGTTTTATTTGAGTGTTGGGCAAATCTGATCAGGAGCACACACACTCTAAATCACCTTTCAGTTATGTTGTTCCTAAACGCACACGCAAGTATACGTGGTCGACAAGTAATATAATGATAAGTTGAGTGTCGAACCCACAAAGACTTGTATAAACTACTCACTAAATCACTAAATTGTTGTTCAATCCAGCTAAAATCAAAGTCCAGTAATATGATTATATTATACTACGATTCTAAATAATAACTAAATTATCAAGTAACGAGTTGATTGTTCTGTATTCAGTAGAGACAAGTATTCTAGGGTTGTGATCGATTCACCATTCATATTGTGTTCTAATCAACTCTCCATTTCATATAATTCACTCATGGTTGCTAATTAATCGATAAATGCTCTCCTAACCTTCTCCCGAAGTACTACTCACCTATTCTCAATAGATTAATGCCTATATTCCTATGAAATCAATCCATTAGGAACGCATTAAGATCACGATATTTAATTAAGCACGGTGATTAGGTATATTCCTATCCTAACCACAAATCCGCTCCCCCTAAGGGTTAAGATCGTGCTCTCTTCAATTCTTCTCTAATCTAAACACGGCTTTCCAAAGCATAGCATAGATAGTAAATAGAACCTAACTGCTGGCAAGACAATTAAGCAATTAAACATAGAATTGAAGAAACAACCATATATTGGTGAATTATAATTAAGGTCAAGCTAATATCAAACAACAATATTCATGGCTAAATCACAACCCCAGAACAATGAGTGCTTAGCCACTCATGATGTAATCAAACAATTGCATAAGTTTTGATTAATTGAAAATACCAGAAAAGATGAAAATTCTGAGATGTTCTTGCTCCTCGATGTTCTTGTGTGTATTTTTGCTCCAAAGTGCGTCTCTCCTTCAAAAATAGGTTTAGTCTTGCTTTTATACGTATTGGGTAGGTCTAGGCCGAAATAACCTTGTCCCGGACGAAATTGGAGAAAATTCACGTCACTGGTGTCAGGCGCCCACCAGGGCGCTGCCCAATTTGCCAACACTATTTTCAGCACCACAGATGGCGCCAAGCACTGCATGTGGCGCCCAAATGGCATTTTTCCCGGTTTTGTTTGTTTTGGCTCAAATCTTGCGCGTCTCGCCCCCAATTGTTCCCGAATCATTCCTACACATAAAAATACTTCAAATTAATATAAATCATAGCATTTAACATCCCAAATTCACAAAACAAAAGTAAAATATGAAGCGATATACATAAAAATATATATATACTTTAAGCTAAACATCAAGTTAGCCGTTTAGGGCACATCTAGATGGATGCATTATGGTGTATATATATAGAAGATGGAGGGGCATGGAGTTGGCCATTCCTCACCAATGTTCTATTTTTTACCCGGGCGATGGTGGTCGGCAGTGGTAATAAATAGAATAGGTAAAAATTAGGTTGTAATAAGTCACCTTTCTGTAAGCCATTCGAAATAAACAGTTCACAAGTCTTGGCGGATCGTTACAACTTTTGATGAATGGACAAGACTTGTCTTGCCACAAGTTTTGACGACACAAATTGTATCATAACTTTTGTAGAAATTGACAAATCTTGATCAGTCGTCAGAACTTAATTAATTGTGTAGAAACTGTTATTAAACATGTATTACTGTAATAAATAATAAAACAGTAAACTTTCTGAAATAGAAACAGAAGTACAGAAAGTTAGCAGCAACAAAATGTCGAAATAATATCTGAAAATAATTTCGAAATAAATCGAGCCCACTGAATGCACAGTGAGTTTCTTAAAGAAATTATTCCCCTCAAGTACCCGACTTGCTGGAATATTATCCTCCCAAGATAGAACTATTTTTACTCACCAGTGTATTGGTACCAAAAACTCTAATGAACTTCAAATCACTCAATGGTTATAAAACACACTGAAAAATTATGTGCAGAAGAAGAAGAAGATGAAGAAGATCAGAAAATTTCGTAAGAAAGATTCTGGGATTCAAAGCATATTTATAGCTTTTCTGGCATGGTTTCTGAAAAGGTTTGACCTTTTCAGAAGCAACCATGGTTGTTGGAACAGGTGGGAATATTTCTCTTTGAAATATTGGGGGAAAACGGATTTAAAAATAATCCGGGAAAGAAACGGACCGAACCGGGTTGCGTCACGGGTGTTGTGTTATTCCGGGTTGATTTTTTGTTAATTAATTAAATTAATCAATTAAATAATTGAAAGAAATTTTGTCCAAAAAGATTAATCAATCAATAAATCGATCTTTGACTGAATCTGAAGCCGAAGCCGAAGCCGAGTGACGACGACGGTGCGAGGCTTACTTTCTTTCCAAACCATTTAACACCAAGAGAAGTACTTTCTCAATATAAGCACATTCACTTTTCTTTCCACCACCTATGAGGGACACTTTGCTCTTTTCAAAGAAAAAGGGAGCTCATTTTCCCTTCGTTTTCTTCCCTACATTTTCCATTCACCAATCTTTAATCCCACTAATCCCTCACATGAATCGGGAATGGCTATAAGACAAAGGAATGCACGGACGAGTGTGTGATTTACAAGGATTAATTGCATCTGGATAAGTAGATTTTCCTTGGAACTTTCCGTAGTGAACTTATATCAGATATACTCGGTCAATCAGTAGATTTGATATCTTTGAACTGTCGAGCTTTGTTGTATACCTACACAACATAAGTCACATAATCAACCCTTAACTATCTATGGTCTTGACGGTTGTGTTCGTTTCAGCTATGAACACCGCCCAGTTTCATGTGCTTAGAGAATGGGCCTTTACTTTCATTCTCCTTAAAGCGGCTTACATTTCACACTCACATAGGGATTTCTAAACATGTAATCCTATAGAAACATTATCTGGTCATATCCTGCCAGACATAACAAACCATTAAAAAGCTTTAAGCTTTGTTGACTCATTAAAAAGCCTTAATGCTTTACCTTGATTTCTGAACATTGTCTTCATCACGATAATAGGTTGAGATTTGACAATGTTGAATCGTCATTCATAACTTTGTTTGATCTCTTTGAACTTAGCTCTTGGGATCTCCAGTATGCTAGGTAGAGTTATCATCATGATGACTTGTCCTAGGCCTTACCCCATTCCCTTCGATGATCTTTCAACTACATGTCTAGATAGGCCTTTTATAAGTGGATCTGATATATTATCTCTTGACTTTACATAGTCAATTGTGATAATACCACTAGTGAGTATTGTCTAATGGTATTGTATCTCCGTCGTATATGACGAGATTTTCCGTTATACATAACGCTCCCTGCCTTGCCTATTACCGTTTGACTATCACAATGTATACATATAGGTGCCGAAGGTTTTGGCCAAAATGGAATATCTTCCAACAAATTCCAGAGACATTCAGCTTTTTCACCGGCCTTGTCTAAAGCTATGATTTCAGATTCCATTGTAGAATGGGCGATGCACGTTTGTTTGGATGATTTCTAAGACACTGCTCCACCCCTAGTTGTGAAAAAAATCCACTTGTGGATTTAAGTTCAGATGATCCGGTGATCCAATTTGCATCACTATATCTCTCGATCACGGAGGGATATTTGTTATAATGCAAAGCATAATTTTGGGTATGTTTCAGATACCCAAAACTCCTTTCATTTTCATCTAATGTATTTGATTGGGATTACTTGTAAACCGACTCAGTTTGCTAATAGCACATGCTATATCTGGTCGCGTACAATTCATGATATACATCAAACTTTCCAATACTCTTGCATAGTCTAGTTGAGTCACTTTCACCTTCATTCTTTTGAAGTGCATAACTCACGTCAATTGAAGTCTTGGCAATCTTGAAATCCAAATATTTGAACTTGTCGAGTACCTTTTCAATGTAGTGAGACAGTGATAATGCTAGACCCTGTAGAGTCTTGTGAAATCTGATTCCTAAGATCACATCAGCATCTCCTAAGTCTTTCATGTCGAATTTGCTAGCCAACACACGCTTAGTAGTATTTATATCTGCCATATTTTTTCTCATTATTAACATATCATCAACATATAAACTAACAATGACTTCATGACCTGGAGTGTTTTTAATGTAAACACATTTGTCACACTCGTTGATTTTAAACCCACTTGCCAATATTATTTGTTCAAATTTAGATTGTTTGGGTGCTTGTTTAAGTCCATAAAGCGATTTGACAAGTTTCACACTTTCTTTTCTTTACCCAAAACCACAAAATCCTCAGGTTGTTCTATGTACATTTCTTCCTCCAATTTTCCATTTAAGAAAGCTGTTTTAATATTCATTTAATGAATTTCAAGACCATACACGGCCGCTAGTTCCACTAACACCCTAATAGATGTTATCCTCGTTACTGGCGAGTAAGTGTCAAAGTAATTAAGGCTTTTCTTTTGTCTATAATCTTTGGCAACAAGTCTTGCCTTATATTTGTCATAGTGCCATTAGCTTTCATTTTCTGTTTAAAGATCCATTTCGAGCCTAAAGGATTATTTCCTGGAGGAAGATCTACCAATTCCCATGTATGGTTATCTAAAATTGATTGAATCTCACTATTGACTGCCTCTTTCCAAAATGCTGACTTTGAAGATGACATAGTTGCTTTAAAAGTTTGAGGCTCATTTTCAAGCAAGAATGTTACAAAATCTGGTCCAAAGGAAGTAGATATTCTTTGACGTTTGCTATGCCTTGGATCTTATTCACGTGGAGTATTTTCCTTTAGTTCTTTTTCGTGGTCATTTAGGTCTTTCACTTAACGACTTGCATTCAGTTTTATACGGATAGATACTTTCAAAAAATTCAGCATTATCTGATTCAATTACAGTATTAACATGAATTTCAGAATTATCAGATTTATGAACCAAAAACCGACATGCTTTACTGTTTGTAGCATATCCAATAAAAATACTACAGTTTTTGGTCCGATTTTAATCCTTTTGGGTAAAGGAACTTGTACCTTTGCTAGGCACCCCCACACTTTGAAATATTTCAAGTTAGATTTTCTTCCTTTTCATTTTTCATATGAAATAGATTGTGTTTTGCTATGGGGTACTCTGTTGAGTATTCAGTTAGCTGTAAGGACAACTTCTTCCCCCACCCCCACAAACTCTGCGGTAATACGAAATTTATTAATAAAGAATTCATCATTTCCTTTAATGTTTGATTTTTTTCTTTTCGCAATTCCATTGGATTGAGGTGTGTAGGGGGCAGTGGTTTGATGGATAATTCCATATTCCGAACATATTTCTGCAAACGAAGATTCATATTCTCCTCCCCGATCATTTCTAATCATTTTGATCTTTTTATTCAATTAATTCTCCAATTCATTCTTGTATTACTTAAATGCTTCAATTGCTTCATCATTACTATTAAGCAAATACACATAACAATATCGAGTGCAATCGTCAATAAAAGTTATAAAATACTTTTTCCCACCTCAAGATGGTGTCGACTTCATATTATAAATTTCAGTATGAATTAAGTTTAAAAGATTTGAATTCCTTTCAATGGACTTATAAGGATGTTTTACAAACTTAGATTCAACATATATTGACATTTTGACTTATTACATTCAAATTTAAGCAATACTTCTAAATTAATTAACTTCAGCAAGGTTTTTTAATTAACATGTCCTAAAAGAATATGCCATAAACCATTTGACTCCAATAAATAATAAGAAGTTGAAATTTTATTCATACTATCAACAACCATTATATTGAGTTTGAAAAGGCCCTCTGTGAGGTAGCCCTTTCAAATATACATTTCATTCTTGCTTACAACAACTTTGTCCGATACAAATACACATTTGAATCCATTCTTAACAAGTAATAAAGTAGAAACTAAATTCTTCCTAATAGTAGGAAGATGAAGAACGTTGTTGAGCGTTAACGCCTTGCCGGAAGTCATCTTCAAGAATATCTTCCCATGACCTTCAATCTTGGCTGTTGTAGTATTTCCCATGGAAAGCTCTTCTTCAGGACCAGCAGTAGAGTAAGTCGCAAATGCTTCTTTGACAGCACGAACATGTCAAGTGGCTCCAGAGTCAATCTACCACTCCTTCGGATTTCCAAGTAGGTTACATTCCGAAAGCATTGCACATAAATTAAAAATGTCATCATTCTTCTCCACTATGTTGGCATGTCCCTTCTTCTTATCCTTTTTCGGGAGATGACAATCAGGGGGCTTTGTGACCAGCTTTTCCACAATTGTAGCAGTTGCCCTTGAGTTTCTTTTTGTTCTGCTCCTTAGTCTGTCTAGAAGACCCCTTCCTCTACTTACTTTTTGGAGCAGTCTCCTCAACGATATTAGCTCCCATAATCGTTGAATTTCCACGAGACTTCTTCTCGACTGTTTTGTTGTCTTCTTCAGTCCTGAGATGAATCACAAGATCTTCCAACTTCATTACTTTGTCTTGTGCTTAAGATAGTTTTTGAAATCTCTCCATGAAGGAGGCAATTTTTCAATCATTGCAGCCACTTGAAATGCTTCATTCACGACCATACCTGCATCAATAAGGTCGTGAAAAATAAGTTTAAGCTCTTGAACTTGGGTTCCAATGGTTTTGTTGTCTATCATTTTATAGTCTATAAACTTGGCAACCACCAATTTCTTCAAGCATGCATCTTGAGTCTTGTACTTCTTTTCAAGTGCATCTTATAATTCTTTAGACGTATTCATAGCACTATAGACATTGTACAAGTCATCGTCCAAAGCATTTAGAATATAGCCTTTGCAAAGAAAATCTGCATGTTTCCATGCCTCAACAATTATAATTTCTCGTTGTCCGGTATATCCGCGGCAGGCACTGGAGGTTCTTCACTGGTGAATTTCTGCATACCAAGTGTGGTAAGCCAGAAGAACACCCTTTGCTGCCATCCTTTGAAGTTGGCCGGTGGAACAACAGTTCGGCTTGACGAGGCTATCGTCATTGCCACAATAGTCGCAGAAGGATTTCCATTTTCAATTGCTATTTCTCACTGTCAACAACGGAAGAGTTCAATTAATGGCAAATAATAGAATAGTAAACAGTACTGTAATTAACGATAAACAGTACATTTAATAAAAAAAACTGAAGCTTTTATATACTGTTTTACAGAAAACGTTGAAGTTTTTATGTTCTTCAAGTCGTTTTGAATTTTAATATTCCCATGAGGCTTTTATATCTTCAAATCAGAATAGAAAAATTCAAAAGGAGTAGAAAACCACATAGGTTTTAATCTTAAAAAATAGAATACAGATTACAATAAAATTAATTTCCTTAAGATTGTTATTCAACCTGTATTATTGTAATAAATAATAAAACAGTAAACTTTCTGAAATAGAAACAGAAACAGAAAGTTAGTAGTAACAGAATGTCGAAATAATATTTGAACAAAATTTCGAAATAAATCGAGCCCATTGAATGCACAGTGTGTCCTTAAGGAAACTATTCCGCTCAATTAACCGAGGTGCTGGAATATTATCCTCCCAGAATAGGACGATTTTTACTCATCAGTGTATTGATACCAAAAACTCTGATGAACTTCGAACCACTCAATGGTTGTAAAACACACTGTTTTTTATTCAAAGCATATTTATAGCCTTTCTGGTACTATTCTGGAAAGGTTTGCAACCTTTCAGAAACAGCCATGGCTGTTGGAACTGGTAATACGGGAAAGAAAAGGATCGGACTTAATTAATAATATTAAATAATTGAAAGAAATTTTGTCCAAGAAGATTAATCAATCAATCTTTGACTGGACCTGAATCCACCGAAGCTGAGCGAGCGATAACGACGATGCGAGACTTACTTTCTTTACAACCCATTTAACACCAAGAGAAGTGTTTCTCAATATAAGCACATTCACTTTTCTTTCCACCACCAATGAGAGACATTTTGCCCTTTCCAAAGAAAAAGGGAGCTCATTTTCCCTCCACTTTCTTCCCTCCATTTCCTATTTACCAATCTTTAATCCCAACTGCGTTTCTCAGTTTGTTATAAGATATCGCTCGCTGAGAAGAAGTTTCTAGGTTAACGTCTATGTAGTAGATATGTTGCTCCTGCGATGCACCATAGATTCAACTAAAACTATTATGAGCTTTACATAACTGTTTATAGTGCTGAATCTTAGGCTAAAGTATATGCGTCTAATTAACCATAAAAATTTCATTTCAAAATGGAGGTCAAAGAAGTCAAGTTTTCTACAATCTATTACTTTGTCATTGCGTTAGCGGCATGGACTCACTGTGGGATGTTAATTGATATGTCGTACTCTACCACTTTATTGTTACTGCTTGCCGCAGCATAATTAAGCTGCACTGTTTGCTTCTTACATATTTTTGTCTTTACATGGTTAATAAGTTTACATGTGATTTTATATTAGAGGAGTTTGAACGTAATTTTTCTTCTCTGTCTCCCATATAGTTTGTTTTCTTTTCTACCATTCAATATTATGTGCACTATACTACTTGGGAAAAATATTACTACTATTATAACCAAATAAGTAAATTGTATGGACTTTCTGAAATTGTAGTACTTTGTAATAAATATCGATATCTTTATAATGGACAATAAGTAGAAGAGTCAGAGTTCCACTTTAATAACATTAAATATCTCGATCAAGAGAAACTAGGTTTACTTCTACATCATTACTTACATATATAAATGAAATTAGGTTTACTTCTTACATAAAATTGAAAAGTTCTATGCGGATGGTGTAAGACATTTACACACTCAAATCACTTAAAAAGTAATTATATATAACTTTATTTACAATAAAAAGTAAGTAATTTATTATAACAAGCTAATATGCTGAGATTGCAAAAAAATGGAGTTCTTTCTTCTTCATACTTGTGCAAGCTATTTTATTGATAGATTTGTGTTTTTATCTTCTTGCCTTTTGGCTTGTCCATATAAATCCATGGAGATAATTTTTGTTTCGTTGGGAATTTTTAAGAAAGATGAAAATAATATACCCGTCTCTGGACTTTGGGTCTAAAGTTTACAATTTTTGTAGGATGGAGGTAAATTATTTTTCAAACTTCAGGAAACGACACCTCTGCAAAAACTTATGAAGGTTTACTGCGACAAAAAATTTATGAATATGGAACAAATTGCATTTTTGTTTGATAGCAAGAGAATCAGAGGCAAACAAACTCCAAAAGAGGTTAGTCTCTTCCTCTCTCTCTCCATGCCCCTCCTCTTTTTAAGGAAAAAAATTAACTTAGATCCAGTACAACAAATTATATTAATTTCTAATGGTAAAGTGTAAATAGATAAAAATATATTTCGATTGACCATAATTAATAGGTAAAATTGTATGTAACTAAAACATACATGTAATATATTCATTCATTTGATATAAGTAGTTACCCTTTCTCACCCCTTAAAAGCGAATCACTCACCCCTTAAAAGCGAATCACCAAGATATGATGGATCCATACAATTGATTAATATTTCACGTGAACTTAGTAACTTTTAACGAAACCTTATATATATATATATATATATATATATATATAGTGTATGTGTGTTAAAAAAATTCCCTAAATTATATTTATATATATTCGATTGTGAATCTAATTTTTCTTTATATATTAACTTCGGGTCCTTGTAAGAATTAAAAATCTGTAAATTTTAAATCCTGAATTTTAAATTACCATTTTGTAATTCCTTTTTCTTTTTCTTATTAACAGCTAGAGATGATGGATGGGGATGAAATTAATGCTATGCTGCATATGAACGGTGGAGGTTTCGCTTAGCTTTTTTGTATTGGCTTGGATTCTATTAATGAATTTGAAACTGTATTACATACACGCTGAGCCAGACTATATGGAATTCCCAAAACTAGTTCATTTGTTATTGATAATGGTAATTTAATCCAGTAGAAACTTGCATACAAGTTTTTGATCTTTACTTACAGTTCATTACCTTTTATAGATCTCTTGACTTCTGAAATGAGTTTGTGCTATGTTCAGTTCCAAGTTCTTCGTTGTTCATTTCTTGTGCAGCCTTACAATAATTTTAAAATAAAACATAAAATAAATGAGAACGGGAAAGTATGTGAGCTGGGGAGTAGGGAATCCTCCTTGAAATATATAAAAATGTTTGTCTTGGAACAAGCTTGCCTAACCATGCCTTTGAGTTCCATATACCACTTTGATTTATTTCATACTACACTATTTCATTCTTATCTGTTTCTAAGAAAAATATCAACAACAACAACAGCCACAACTCAGTATAATCCCACTAATGAGGTCTGGAGAGGGTAGTGTGTACGCAGCCTTACCTCTACCGTGGAATAGAGAGACTGTTTCCAATAGACCCTCGACATCCTTCCCTCCAAGAACTCCGCACCTTTTTCTTGGGGTGACTCGAACTCACAACCTCTTGGTTAGAAGTGGAGGTTGCTTTGTATGGGTCCAAATTTGGACGACCACAGCTATTGACAAACACGACAGAAGACGAGATCTTCACAGCTCGACGTCCTGTAGAGGACGGCAAGCAGCAAACGGAGGATGTATGATTCTTACAGTGATGTAGGCCCAAAAGGGGCATTAGGAATGTACACTCGAATATTCCTTATGATATGTCCTTTAGGGATATATAGTGGAAGATAAACCTTGTAAGGGGGGGCTTCTTTTTGACAAAATGAGCTCAGAATACTGATTGTAACATCTTCCAACAAAAAAGATTGGCATCTTTAATATTCGATCACTCGCTTCCGTAAAGAGCAATAAATATTACTCATTGTGTTCACCTTTTATTCCTTTTCGTTCTAGATTTATACTTAGCTAAGATTTACCCCTTCATCCTCTTTAATTGATTTGTTCACAAAAGTTTCAATATTTTTTGAGTCAAACAATTTGACATCGTCTGTGGGGATTTCTTAGTGAAATTTCCTAGTCTCTTTCAGATCAAAGACAGGAAACACGATTACCCACCAAAAAGAGCGCTAAGTCAAAGCCCAACCCACGAAGGGCAAAGGCGCAACATAAAAGGGGAAAGAGAGATGAATACAGTCACCGAATTTAGAAATCATCGCCCCATCAACCGTCGAAATGCCAGAAAAAACGAGCAACATTACAAACTTACTCTCATTCACCGATCCATCGGATGGGGGCAAGGAAAGTATCATTTTGACTCACCTTCTGCTCTTTGCTCAAGTAGGAACACAAGTACCGTGCCGGCGAGCGAGCAAAGAAACATCTCAATCAGAGAATGGGAAACTACTACAAGACAACCAAAACATCGCCCGCCGATGACATCTCCAGGCCAGAAGGCAAGAATCAGACAAGGAAACTCCAATGTGTGCACAAAACGATCATAAGCGAAATAACAACGTTTCGTACTCTCCGATATTACACTCTCTGATGCAAAAAATATCAAGCTGACTCTCCGATATTACACTCCCCAGAGGATGCCTGATTCTCCAAAAACTGGGACTGGTGACGGGTTAATATTTTGAGAAGTTCGAAATAACACCCTTTAAGGCCAAGGGCCTTCGCCAAAAAGAAGAGTTCGATCTCGATTGAACGACGACGGGTTAATATTTCGACAAGTTTGAAATTACGCCCTTTAAGTCCAAGGACCTTCGCCAAAACAAAGAGTTCGACCTCGATCGAACGACGACGGGTTAATATTTCGACAAGTTTGAAATTACGCCCTTTAAGTCCAAGGACCTTCGCCAAAACAAAGAGTTCGACCTCGATCGAACGACGACGGGTTAATATTTCAACAAGTTCGAAATAACACCCTTTAGGGCAAAGGGCCTTCGCCAAAAAGAAGAATTCGACCTTGATCGAAAGACGACGGGTTAATATTTTGACAAGTTCAAAATAACAGCTTTAAGGCCAAGGGCCTTCGCCAACAAGAAGAGTTCGACTCGATCAAACGACGATTGGTTAATATTTCGACAAGTTCAAAATAACACCCTTTAAGGCCAAGGGCCTTTGCCAAAAAGAAGAGTTTGACCTCGATCGAACGACGACGGGTTAATATTTTGACAAGTTCGAAATAACACCCTTGAAGGCCAAGGGTCTTCACCAAAAAGAAGAGTTCGACCTCAATCGAAGGACGCCGGGTTAATATTTCGACAAGTTCGAAATAACGCCCTATAAGGCCAAGGGCCTTCGCCAAAAATAAGAGTTCGAGCTCGATCGAACGACGACGGGTTAATATTTCGACAAGTTCGAAATAACACCCTTTAAGGTAAAGGGCCTTCTCCAAAATGAAGAGTTCGACCTCGATCGAACAACGGCGGGTTAATATTTCGACAACGGGTTAATATTTCGACAAGTTCGAAATAACACCCTTTAGGTCCAAGGGCCTTTACCAAAAAGAAGAGTTCGACCTCGATCGAATGACGACGGGTTAATATTTCGACAAGTTTGAAATAACACCCTTTAGGTCCAAGGGCCTTCACCAAAAAGAAGAGTTCGACCTCGATCGAATGACGACGGGTTAATATTTCAACAAGATCGAAATAACACCCTTTAAGACCAAGGACCTTCGCATAAAAGAAGAGTTCGACCTCTATCGAACGACGACGGGTTAATATTTTGACAAGATCGAAATCACAACTTTTAAGGCCAAGGGATTTCGGCAAAGAAGAAGAGTTCTACCTCGATCGAACGACGACGGGTTAAGATTTTGACAAGTTCGAAATAGTACCCTTTAAGGCCAAGGGCCTTCACCAAAAAGAAGAATTCGACCTCGATCGAACGATGATGGGTTAATATTCTGACAAGTTCGAAATAACACCCTTTAAGGCCCAGGGCCTTTGCCAAAAAGAAGAGTTCGTCCTCGATCGAACGACGGCGGGTTAATATTTTGAGAAGTTCGAAATAACACCCTTTAAGGTCAAAGGCCTTCTCCAAAATGAAGAGTTCGACCTCGATCGAACAACGATGGGTTAATATTTTGAGAAGTTCGAAATAACACCCTTTAAGGCCAAGGACCTTCGCCAAAAAGAAGAGTTCGATCTCAATTGAATGACGACGGGTTAATATTTCGACAAGTTTGAAATTACGCCCTTTAAGTCCAAGGACCTTCGCCAAAACAAAGAGTTCGACCTCGATCGAACGACGACGGGTTAATATTTCAACAAGTTCGAAATAACACCTTTTAGGGCCAAGGGCCTTCGCCAAAAAGAAGAGTTTAACCTTGATCGAAAGACGACGGGTTAATATTTTGACAAGTTCGAAATAACACGCTTTAAGGTCTAGGGCCTTCGCCAAAAAGAAGAGTTTAACCTTGATCGAAAGACGACGGGTTAATATTTTGACAAGTTCGAAATAACACGCTTTAAGGTCTAGGGCCTTCGCCAAAAAGAAGAGTCCGACTCGATCAAACGACGATGGATTAAAATTTCGACAAGTTCAAAATAACACCCTTTAAGGCCAAGGGCCTTTGCCAAAAAGAAGATTTTGACCTCGATCGAACGACGACGGGTTAATATTTTGACAAGTTTGAAATAACACCCTTGAAGGCCAAGGGCCTTCACCAAAAAGAAGAGTTCGACCTCGATCAAAGGACGCCGGGTTAATATTTCGACAAGTTCGAAATAACACCCAATAAGGCCAAGGGCCTTCGCCAAAAATCAAAGTTCGAGCTCGATCGAACGATGACGGGTTAATATTTTGACATGTTCGAATTAACACCCTTTAAGGCCAAGGGCCTTTGCCAAAAAGAAGAGTTCGACCTCTATCGAACGACGACGGGTTAATATTTCGACAAGTTCAAAATAACACCCTTTAAGGTCAAAGGCCTTCTCCAAAATGAAGAGTTCGACCTCGATCGAACGACGACGGGTTAATATTTCGACAAGTTCAAAATAACACCCTTTAAGGTCAAAGGCCTTCTCCAAAATGAAGAGTTCGACCTCGATCGAACGACGACGGGTTAATATTTCGACAAGTTCAAAATAACACCCTTTAAGGTCAAAGGCCTTCTCCAAAATGAAGAGTTCGACCTCGATCGAACGACGACGGGTTAATATTTCGACAAGTTCAAAATAACACCCTTTAGGTCCAAGGGCCTTCACCAAAATGAAGAGTTCTACCTCGATCGAATGACGACGGGTTAATATTTCGACAAGATCGAAATAACACCCTTTAAGGCCAAGGGCCTTCGCATAAAAGAAGTGTTTGACCTCTATCGAACGACGACGAGTTAATAATTCGACAAGATCAAAACCACAACCTTTAAGGCCTAGGGCTTTCGGTAAAGAAGAAGAGTTCTACCTCGATCGAACGACGACGGGTTAATATTTTGACAAGTTTGAAATAATACCCTTTAAGGCCAAGGGCCTTCGCCAAATAGAAGAGTTTGACCTCGATCGAACAACGACATGTTAATATTTTGAGAAGTTCGAAATAACACCCTTTAAGGCCAAGGGCCTTCGCCAAATAGAAGAGTTTGACCTCGATCGAACAACGACATGTTAATATTTTGAGAAGTTCGAAATAACACCCTTTAAGGGAAAGAGCCTTCGCCAAAAAGAAGAGTTCGATCTCGATTGAACGACGACGGGTTAATATTTCCTCAATTTTGAAATTACGCCCTTTAAGTTCAAGGACCTTCGCCAAAACAAAGAGTTCAACCTCGATCGAACGACGACGGGTTAATATTTCGACAAGCTCGAAATAACACCCTTTAAGGCCAAGGGCCTTCGCCAATAAGAAGAGTTCGACCTCGATAGAATGACGACGGGTTAATATTTTGACAAGTTCGAAATAACACGCTTTAAGGCCAAGGGCCT